GCAAATGAAATGGGATCTGCCAAGGAGATCCCAGTCCTTGAAGTTAGAATAATCGAAGATGTTGACTTGGCTTTCAGGCAGCTTCATGAAGGAGTAGAAGTTGAGGAGATCATTGTTCCCAGTGCAATTGAGCAGCAGCTAGTCGTGGATGATACCAAAGATCTCGGGCAAACCAGTTCAGCTTTGCCAGTTGTTGAAGCAAGATCTCTGGAGGATATTCATATCACCATGAAGCAGGTTTCAGAAGGAAATATTGAGCAGCAGCCAAAGTTGCTGGATCCGAATGATAAACCAGGACATGAAGCAGCTTCTACCAAGGAGATGGATTCTAGGAATTCAGAAATAAATGAAGAGGATTCCACTGAGGATATTGAATCAAGTACTGTAGAAGTAAATGAAGTGAGTTCCATGAAGGCTGTGGAATCAAGCATTGTGCAAGTAATTGAAGTGACTTCCATCAAGGAGAGTGAACCGGATGCTGCTGAATTTGGTGGTGGAGAAACCAGCACAATTGCTCCTCATGAATCAAAGCATGGATTCGATGAAACACCTGGAAATTCGAGTTCGAGCATATCAGATACCAAACACAAGAAGGCAAAATCTCATAGTTCGAGTTCTAATTCCAGCTCCAGCTCCAGCTCGAGCTCTAGTGATTCAGATTGAATATAAGAATTGTAGCGAAGAAAAGAGAGGAAGTTTTGTGTTTTGAGTTTTCCTTCCTTTTGGTTTAGTTGTGTGAGAATGGGCTTTTTTGATTTTATAGTTTGGTCTACCACGATCTATTACTTGGCTGGGTTTTGATTGCTTTCTAATTTATTGATATGATCTCTTCAAGAATGAGTTTTGGTTTGATTTCTTGAAGTGTGAATTTTTTAGGTTCCAAGAGTGAGCAGTTTGAGTTTTTCTGGGATAAAGATTGTTTGAAATCCCTGCATATTGTAAATTACAATTTGTAGAATGAATGTGATCAATTCCAGGCGTATAATGCTTTGTTTCAAATTTTCTCCTCAGTTTTTCCTCTTCATCTTTGATATGCCCAGGCATTATCTTAGAAGAGATTATTCTAGTAGACTCTGTGCGGGTGATATGCAGAGTTGTCATCTCTCCGTGGACCTGTTGCAGCATGATTGTTACGGATCCGTTCTAGGTCTTGTCTAGTGTAGCTGTTCAATTTGCCTGTTCCTTGAAAAGCAGTATTTTGCTGTATATAGCACTGCAAGTTCACAGGAGGACAAATTGTTCCATGTATTGATTGGACTGAGGATGTGAGTTACATATTGATCAAAGTTATGACAGCAGCAACGCTACCGCCTTTCTACAGCTTGGGTTTAAATGTGTTTGGTTGCCAGCCAGACACCATTTTCTAACTGAAACACAATGCAGGGAATATATCTCAAGCTGATCATCTTCTCTGTTGCTTCCTTTCCAAGGTTCTTGAAAGTCAAGACTGTTGGCTTTTCCTGGCAACTTCAAATGGAGTCGGTTACTCTTTCAATGAAACTTCAAAGATGCACTTGGTTGCGTGTGGACAATCTGTCCTCTCCCAGTAAACTACCATGAAAGACCCATTTATGGCTCCTAGTATTCCGCCCAGCGCGACCGTGGCCCATGGCGGAGATATTTTGTAAGGTTGCTCCCTTATCTATCAGAAAAAGGATTCTTTCTTCTTCCTTTTTCAGTAAAGGGGTGCAAGTAGCTACACCTATAATCAAAGAGCGCTGCTGGCTAAGGTCAATATCTGCGAAGGGAACAAAAAAGAGTGTGGTAAGTGGGACTGGTTAAAGAGTGTGGTAAAGGTGACTAGAACAGCCCACCTCTCTGCATTACTGAGATCGTACGTTACGCGTCAATTCTTCTTTCTGTTGGCATAGATATGTTATCAGATTTACGCAAGACAACCGACCCTTGAATTGTTGTTGGATATGAATCCAATCTAGCCAGGAAACAACAAATCAGGCCGGCTGCTTTTCGAGCCGACAATTTGGTGTTGATCATGTCCTGTCCCTCTCAACATGACGCGAACTAAGAGCACTGTCCCAGCTAAACATGATTTTCTCTAGTATATCACGCAAGGTGAAACAAAGACAGGTGAAATATACTGAACTGAAAAGTTATCTGATTTTTGTTGTGTTTTAAAAATATTTAATTTTTTTTTTAAATTTTAAATTAATCTTTTTATGTTTTGATATATACTAATATCAAAAATATTATTTTAATATAAAGATTTTTAAATATTTTTTAAAACAATATCTATAATAACAAAGTTTCACTTTCAACTTTTCGGCCTTTCGGTTTCCATTTCTTTAAAGCCAATAAACAATTGAATGTGGCTGCCTGCCAGACGCCAATGCCTCAGCAGTATTTATAATAAGTAAGCTGTTGAGAAGATTAGGAGAAAGCTATGAATGTGACGTACATATATAAAAAAAGTGGACTAAAAAAAAATGAATTTTAATTTCCAGACCCCACCTTCTTTCCGACTTCTACATTCGATTCCTTTGCAGCCGGTAGCCTTAGACTTTCTTTTTATGAAAATTATATTCCCCTTTTCTAATTCCGCGTCAGAGAGATTAGATTTCCCATGCAAACTACACACGTTTCGTAAAATAAATAAAAAATTACATATCTTAATAAATAATAATAACCTTGTTAATTCGGTTAAAAAACTAAGATAAATATATATATTAAGATATTTTATATTATGCTACGATAAACTTTTTAATTTTTACAGATAAAAATAATTAATTTAAACTCTATTTTAAAGATATTTTCTAGTATAATTCATACTTTTCTTATTAATATATATATATTTTTAAATAAAAAACACATATTTTTTTATCATGTGTTTTTAATTTGATAAAAAAACAAAAAAATTAGAATAAATACATACATACATACATATATATATATATATATAATTTAATATTAATGACATCATTATCAAAATATCATTTATCAAGATGATACATATAAATGATGTGTTGCTTGTGAGTTTAGATTTTGATCATCTTGGGATGGTTGAAAAATCAGTTTGGTATGTTTTTGGGCTCAAAATTCTATTTTTAATATATCTTGACACAAAAATCTAACAGAAACAATATAAGCATAATAAATTAACTTCTCAACTTAAAACATTCAAAATTATTCTAAAAATATAAAATTAAATTGAAGAAAATAATCTCTTTAGCTCGATCTATTTTTTCATGCTAGATAAATATTGTGTTGGGTTCTTGAATATCATATATGCAATGAAAATAATATAATAAAATTATTTAAGAGTCCTTAAAATATTATTAGACATATTTAAAATTATGAGCCCTTAAAATATTATTAGACATATTTAAAATTATTTAATGATTTATTACCTGAAAATATAATTTTATTAGTTTTAAATAATTTTTTAAAAGTTAGATTGTTTCAAAGCATAAGTCATCTAATTATTTAGAGAGTAATTCACGTAAATCACCAGTGATAAATTTTCTAAATTCCTATATAGAAGAGAGAGATTGCTATACTTAGAGTGCTAACTTTTTATTTTGTGACTTACATAATTTTTTTATATAATTAACAATCATTTTAAAATAAGAGGCATAACTTATTATTTATATAAAAAAATAATCTAAAAACCTTATAAATTGATAAAATATCAATTTATCTCTTAAATAATATTCATATATTAATTCAAGATAATTTTAAAAATTAACCTAATCAAGTCCTTACTTGATTCTTCTAGATCTAGAAATAATTATATTCTTGTCTTTAATTTCTAAAATAAATTTTAATCAAGTCATACTTAATTAACTCATCTTAGTTTAATTCTTGACTAATTAAGTTTCTTGTGTGTGATCCATTAGGTTCTTAATATGTTGGTTCAAATATAAATGATAATTATATTAAATAAAATTAAATAAATTAAATAAATTAATTTATTATCAATTCAACAATTAATTAATTTATATATGAAGATCATAAGCATCATTTAGTAATGTATCATAATTCTCTAAATATTAAAAAAAATATTAGTAATTTGATTTAACATTTCAATAATTGATTTTTCAATATAATTATTATCATTTTATCAATACTATTCCAATTTAATATTAAAACATAAAATATACTTGTCATGTTTAATTATATTTGTACTCTATATACTAATCATTAATCGTTTGAATAAGATTTCAAATTCTTTTCAAATCTTATTCCATCTTGTCAATGATTTTTCAATCAATACTATTTAAGAACAGATAAAATATTTTTTCTAATTCATCTAGGATAATGAATTTTTTTTATCACTCAAATGCCTTTATATAGTTCATGTTATACTCAATATCTGTCTCTTTGTTACCTCAATTAAAATAACATGTAATATAATCAAAACATAATATTCTCTATATAAGATAATTTAGTAATATCAAATTTAAAGATTACTTACACAACTGTCACGTGTATCTTTCTATAAATATAGATCATCTCTCCCTATTAAATTCTTATACAGTCTAGTTCAGTATACATATCTTATGACAAGCACCTAAATGTTAATTTTAAGTATTTCTTATACCTCAACTTATAAAAACAACTACTTTCTTTCAGTATACATGTTTTGTGACAAGCACCTAAATGTTAGTTTTAAGTATTTGTATTTCTTATATCTCAACTTATAAAAACAACTACTTTCTTTCTAATAAATGTCTAGTATTTCAAAGAATATCAACCAAAAATATTTTAAAAAGAATATTTTAATACAATAAGAATCTCATAATTACAATAATTTTATAATTTTATTTGCAAAATATTTTTGTTCTATTAACTTTATCTTTACTCTAAATTTACAAATCAAATATTAAATTCATTAATATAATGTTATATAAATATTAAAAATAAATTTAGTTTTTATAATAATAAATATATATTTATATAAATATAATAATATTATATGTAACTAACTCAAACAAACACTGAAACTAACAGACTAAAAACCACAACTATCAAATTTCCCTCATTATTAAAACCTTTGACACAAAGTTTAGTCATTTTAATTACCTCAAGCGGATAACCAACAACTTTTCTATGAATTTCTCTCTCTTCTCTCTAACTCAAATTAAAAAATAAATCAAATAAATTTTTAAACTACCATGCTTTACAATTCAATCCTATTTCTTTTATTTTTTTAATTTTTCCATAATTCAACACTAATTTCATCTAGAAAAACTCTAAAGGAGAAAAAAGGTTTAATAATGGAAAAAAACAAAGAGAGTCAGGAGTGAAGCTCCGTCACAAATCCTAGTTGTTTTAGATGTATTAGGTAATCGGATTAGATCACCTCAAAATATCATGACACGACACTAAGGGAAACACTATTATTCTTAGCATTTTCTTGTCCCACATCCTAGTTGTTTTAGATGTGTTAGGTAATCGGATTAGATCCCCACAAAATATCATGACACGACACTAAGGGAAACACTATTATTCTTAGCATTTTCTTGTCCCACGATCATAGATCCTAAAATGGGGATTTTGGTTTCCATAGAAAATAGAATACACCCTCAAACGAGCAGGCAGCCAAAGTTTTAGGAAACTAGGACACCCAAACTAGGAGCACAGATTTTGCAGAAATTATACCTATCCTGCTAAAAATACTCTAAACAATAGGGCATGGCTCGTGTAATGCACTTTTGATTGGTCACCCCAATTGAAGAATTTTTGGCACAAGAAGCAACTGAATGAATCCAGAAGAGCTCCCAACCTGGCCAAAAAGAAATTGTTTTTGCTTCTTTTGAGCTGGTCCAGAAGAGCTCCCATGGATCTACTGCTTTTGCTTCTTCTGAGCTGGTCCAGAAGAGCTCCCAACCTGGCCAAAAAATAATTGTTTAACATACCAAGTTCAGCTTTTATCAACAACAGGAAAGAATCACACCCCTTGGAAAAATCTAAGCAACCAAGAGCAGCATTTTAAGCATCACCTACTGGTGCAGCTACAGCACGGATTTCCCTCAGCAATATCAAGCATGTGTGCAACCACAGAAATATAAATTCAAGAAAGCACAGAGAATATTTGTATAGCATCAGATCAGCTAAGCATCCAGGATTTTAAATTGACGACCTAGTTACACCAAATGATGAGGATCTTTGTTTATTTTGGAGTAGCTTGGACAGAAGAGTGAAATCTGACTAAAAGCCAATGCCACCATCATTCACCTCATTTGTTCTCTTCCAATTTATTTATTCCTTGCCCTGACACCCTTTGTTTTGAAATTTTTTATTGGTATTAAGATTAAAAAAAATAAAATAAAGACCAGTGCAGTCAGTAGTGGAACTATACAACAAGCTTTTTTTCCCTGGAATTTCACTACTAAGTGTTAGAGAATAATACAAATCATATCCTAGGACCTCCCTCACCTAAAAACTTAAGCTTTTGGGTTGAGATGGTTCTTTGACATGGTATCAGAGCCTTGATGACCAAGCAGCCACGAGTTCGAATCTCATCATCACAAGGTAATATGGGTCTGTGCAAGGTTCAAGCCCAAAGAACTTTCACTTGAGGGGGTGTGTTAGAGAATAATATAAATCATATCCTGGTATCTCACCTAAAAGCTTAAGTTTTTAGGTTGAGATGGTTCTTTGACACTAAGAAAGTGCAAAGATATTAAATTAAGGATCCTACAGTTTCCAAATTCACCCTTTTTTCCCAGAAAAATAGAGAATGAAATGGTAGATATTTGTAGTAATATACCTCTTATATCTATTCATTTATATGAAATAATCCAACTAGCACCGATTTCTATCATCATACTACCACGCACCTAGTTTAGAATTTACACACAATTCTGTGCAGATAACTTTGAGTTTCTTCATAAACAGTTAAATGATGAAAAGAGAAGAGAAACACCCATTGAAAATGCCCAGAGCATGAAAAGCATTGGTCTTTTTTTTTTTTTTTTTGACAAGGAAGATGGCAGGCATTCTTTTTCATAATTTTCTCTTCTTGTTTATTAAATGACCTGACATATTTCAAAATTTTGATAAATGAGTCCTATTTTAAAGAACCCTAGAAAGATCATCAATTTTTTTAAAAAAATTTACTTGCAGACATATCAAGATTGAGAACGGTGCATACCCTGCTAGAAAGCTGCTCATTGATGTAGGTCATTGATCTTAACATAGCTTCAAGCGTGTCTCTACCAAGCTGAAATTTCACTTCCGTTTCTCCTGAAGAAGACTTACTGTAATCTTGAAGCTATGAAACAAGACAGGATATATATAAGATACACAAAAGAGCACCATAAGAAGTTCTAATAACTGAATAGAAAGAGAGTTAAGCATTCTGAAAAAGGAAGCACTTCTTGTGAAGTGTTAATTAAATATGAGGAACTCAAACTTGATAGATGCTTGAGGAAAGGTCTAACTTCTAAGTATTATCAAATATGAGGAATTCACACTTGATATGTACTTAGAGGAAGGTCTAAAATTCTAATTAGATATGTTTTCAAAGTAGATCTAAAACAGCAATGATTCTTGGCCTCTATACACCACTTTCCATCACTTAAGGAATTGTATCCTGAATAACTCACTATATAGAATGCTTTACAAATACAGAACAGTACAGAGATCCTATTGCTCTGAATCAGCCAAGGTCTATCAATAAGAATACCCATGAGCCGATATAGCTTGGAATCTATAGTACACTGCCACTCTGTTCAACCCTTGTTGTTTCCTGATGAAGCTACTTTTTTAATTTGAAACCACTATTGACCTCATCCCCATACGGACTGCCATTATGAAAGTGTGAAACATATAGGACTGTGCTCATATCAACCCAGGGGGACAAACGACCCAATAAAACAGCTGATATGTCCAGGCTGGGTAATCTCTCTTTTGGTGACATAATATGCCTAATGTACCCAATAGCTGACACAATCAATCACAAAGAAAATGAGACCTTTAATGGCAAAATAGTGTGGATCAGAAAGAGCATGAGAACCAGTCAGAAATATAAAGCTTGCAATTCCAACAAGAATAATATCTCTATGTAATTTCAAAGTCTACAATTCCAATAGTACATTAAATGACCATTCAAAAAGTCAGTACAGGTTCTCTTTACTTGTGGAGAAACATGTAGCTCTTTGGAAGTTTGCTCAGCTTACCGAAACAAGAAAACACAATACCAGCATTCACATACCTTGAGAGTTATGATGGCAACTCTATTAGCTGATGAAGGGTTGCGATTCTCTGTGGTCCATGTCATTGATTTGAGGCGAGGTACATTAGCCTATATAGTAGTAAAATCCAGTCACATATATATAAATTACCAAAGGATTCAAATTTCTAATGTGCATTATCATAAGCAATCTTGTTCACTTTATTGAAGGCCTGCTGGAATTTGAATGTATACATGAAAGCAATTACACCTTAATAGATATTGTTAGCAGAAAAAGATATGTAAGTACATAAATAAAATTTCTACATTAGTCTTTTGCTAATCAGAGATGCTCTTTCAAACCCAAATTGCTATGTATGGTAATGGGAGAGAAATGTAAGGACATGGTAGTATAGTTCCCCTCAGAGAAAAAGAAGCTTGTTAGAGCTTCTCATGGAGGATCAAACAACATATTTCAAGACTTCCTTTGAGTTGTAATTGAAAGGCAGGACTCCAACTAAAGTTGCTTTCTCAGGGGGCGATGACAAAGCTCAATAGGAATAGGAACAGGATCATGTCAAAAGAGATTAAAAAAATAGGAACTGGACTAGCATGGTGTTGTAAGCAAAGTGCAGTCAATGGATAGCAGAGGTTCGTTTCTCACTTCATTCCTGGGAAGCAAGAGAAAAGTGGGTCTTAGTTATTTTTGAATCAAGTAGGACAACGGCAATTTCAGGGATTCGCATGCTAAATGGCTGGAAAGATAGAATTTTGGAATGGCTGAGATGGTGCAATCTGGAGGATGTTTCAGTATGAATGATGCACTTGTATTAAATGTAGCTTTTGTGGTCTGAGATGAAGAAGTGAAGGAGATTGAGATGCATGGTCTTCAGAGCCAGTTTAAATCTCAATTGGATTAACTTCTTGACTGCTGTTCCCTCTATGACCTTGTTACAGGATCTTTCAGCTTCCTAGGAATCAATGATTAGGATTTAGGATTATACGTGCTGAATTTATAAAATCTCCTCCTCTTCTTTCTCTTTTAAGTTTCTCCCCATAGAAATCCAGTGCAAGTGGGTAGAGTCACTCTTTTCCCCTTTTACTTAATTGTTTCTCTAGAAAGAATTGCCAATGCGATTTTTGCTGGACATACAGCTTCTTTTATCGAGTTAGAGAACAATTCAGCATCACAAAAATGGTTTCACTAGAACAAGTAAACAGAAGTAGTCAACCTATTCTCTTTGTTAATTTCAGATATCCTCAAAGCAAATTTGAGCAACCGAGTACTAGTTCAAGGCTTCCTTTCTTTTCCTTCCTTTTTTTTTTCAAGTGGGGCACTGAGAGCCAGAAAGTAAAACATCACCAACTTGAGCAGATACCTCCTTAATGCCAAATGATATTAGAGGGTAAAACCAGAGTTCTCATTCAAGGATAACAAACAGTTTAAAATATCTAAAATAAATGTAGCAGCTAACTACTTGTTTATGGCATAGTGCATTGAAGAAAAACACAGTAACTAACTAACACGTTTACTTCCCTTACCATGTTGTCAAGAGGAGTAACATTATGTTGGGCAAAAACTGAGGCAGCAGTTTCAGCAATCATTGACGTAGGCTCCTCAAAACCATTATGATTAAAACGTCCATTAGTATCATCTTGACGAGGCCAAAGCTGCGTCGGAACCTCAGCCGTAAACGACGGCGGACCACTAATCCCAAAAACACTAGCCCTCGGCAACGAATGCTGGATAGGAAAAAATATATGTTAACCAAAATGACAAATACAAAAAAAAATTAAGAGGTAAGAAAAAACCTGTTCGGTTGTAGCTAAATCATCCTGCTTCCATTGAATTTGATACTTGTGGAGCAAATTGATAAGAGTGGTTTGCAACTCAAGGGATAAATCAGGTGGAAACAGCTTCAGCAGCTCATCACTACTCATATTCTCATGTACACATTTTCTGATAATCGAACGAAGGCATGCCAAAACCTACAACTACAACAACCTTTTCAGTTAACTAATTAACTAGCTATTATTCAAAAAAAATTAAGAAAAAAAAGAGGAGGAGAAGAAAGAAGAAGAAGTGATTACGGGATCGAGTTGAGGAAGGGAAGGGAGATCGAGGAGAGATTGAAAGCGGGATTTAAGGGGAGAAGGGAGAGCGGTTCTTCTGTTTTTCCAGAGAGAAGTAAGGATGTGCTCAACATCTTCTTCCTTTGTTGCTACTGCTGATAGCTTGTGAAGCTGCAGATATAGGGAATCACCACCCTCCATTTTCTCCATTTTAATTTCCAGTAAATGGCTTCAATTTCTGCACCTCCAATTTGCCTACTGAAGTCTATATTATTTTTTTAACATATTTTTATTTTTAAATATATTCAAATAATATTTTTTTATTTTTTAAAATATATTTTTAATATCATAGTAAAATAATTTAGAGATATATATAAAAAATAAAATTTTAAAAAATAAAATTTAATATATATAAAAATTAAAATTTTAAAAAATAAATATTTAAAAAATTCTAAACCGCTCCGTTGTTGTTGGTAAAATGATATTTACTATTCTCCTTTTCTTTTTCTACCTTTTCCATTTTATTTACAATCACTCACAGAGAGTTATTTATGAATCAGTTATTTTCAATTTCATTTTTTTTTAATCTTATAACTTAACTACCCTAATGTTAATAATCTTCAACCTAACTAACTAATTTTTATTTTTTGATAGAATTAATTTTAATTTTGTGAATTAAACAAATAAATTTTAAATGTAACTTAAAAATTTTTGATTTTTTTTTAAAGAGCATGTGTACCCTCTCTTCTTTGTCTTAAAAGCACCAACAATCTTAAAATCTGTTATTTGTTTTTTTTTTCCCTTAAAATTAAATGCAGAATTTTCAAATGGAGAGGTATAGGATGGAAACACGTTATAAATCATATTTTTTAATTTTTTAATTTTTAATTTAAAATAATTTTTTAATATTTTTATATTATTTTGATATGATGATATTAAAAATAATTTTTTAAAAATAAAAAATTTTATTTTGATATTTTTATAAGCAAAAAATACTTTAAATCGTTACTGTTATCATAATTTCAAACACATCTTAAATTTTATCTTTAAAATTTAAAATTAAACTGATAGAAAAAAATTAAAATTAATTAATTAGGTTAAAGGTGATTGAAATTAAGGTATTAGAATCATTTTATTAGTTATATAAATAAAATAGTAATAAAATCTTGAAAAAATAACAAAAAAAACTTGATTTTAAATATATTAAAGTATAGGGCAGTCACACCTTAAATTGAGATTATAGAGATTAATTCTCTAATAAATTAAAGTTTGAAAAAAGTTTAACTAATTTATCATATATTGTATATCATTTCAAATGTCATTCAGTATAGATTTTTTTTTTCAATATTATTCTTTTTTTATTAATAAAAAATTAAGAATTTACTTTGCTTTAAGACTTAAAATACTATTAATTATAACAGTATAATTATAAAATTACTATTGAATAAAAAAAACCTTTGAATTAGGTATTAAAAACAAGATAATCTTTTATCTTGATACCATGACATATTTATCTTTAACATAATATATGATAGCATGACATATTTATCTTTAACATAATATATAATGTTAGATTTGTTATTTTTTTCACAATGAAAGGACTACTTTAACCCTAAAATAAAAAAATTATGGACCGATTAGATGACCTCTACCAGAAAGTTGTTTAAATAACTGTTTAACTAGGCTTGTGATACGATCCATGTTAGCCTTTAAGGAGTCTAACTCCTATTGGAAATGGGAATTTCAATGATCACATTCTACATCATCCATATTTTTTAGTGACAATTGAGTATAATAAACTTTGTGGATTGGGCTTTTTAGATACTTATATTTTAACCTGCATATGCACGCATGATATTTAAATATGAAAACATGAATGTATATATGCTTATGAACACAAGTGTATGTACACATAAATCGAAAATAGATTAACCTGTTTAAAGAGCTAATTTATGACTTTATTGTTGAATACAGATAAAGATTCATAATTTGATTAATTTAAAGAAGATCTTTCTGAAATTCTTTTGGTTAATTCCCATAAACATTAGAGAGTAATAAAACATAAAGGTGGGTATGAGCCTTTTTTTTTTATTTAAAAAAAGACAAGACAATTTATATTTTATATGTATTGTAATTTTCCAACTTTTGTTCTTGAACAATTCCTGTAGCTAGTTACATCATTTCAGATTATTACTTGTATCCATAAATAGTCATAGTCTTAATTTAGAAAGTCCTGTGGAGTTCAAGATTATTAATTAGGTATGCTTTGATGTAAAATAAAGGTGACACATACAAACTAAGAACATGTTTTATTTATTAAGTAAGTACATGTAGGTTTTCTATCACGTCTCAAAAGGATCTTAGATAATTATAGGGCAAATTGTTAAACCACCATCTAACCTAAAAGTTTATATGTGCTTGAAAAATTAAGACATGTGATGCGTAAGCAATATATAGAAAAATTAAAGTGTATAAGCAAATGATAAAAAAAGAATGCATGTTAAAAATAAACACACAGACCAAATAATTAAAAATAAAACACAGCAATTAAATAAAAACAAAACTTAGTCCACAAAAAATCCATATTTTGTTGCACGTATGCGGCGTCGTAATGATCTTCCTTCCAGGTCGGGAATCTATCTAGTGAAGGGAAAAAGAATAAGGAATTTTTGTTTCTTATTAGAAAAAGGGGATATAATTGCTGCATAATATTTTAGTTACTAACAACCCTAACTAGTCTCAGAGACTAGATAAAGAGATTGTGGTTGTTGTAACCCAATTTTGGATTCACTAAGATTTTAAAATGTTATTTTATTTGATTATTCATAACAAAAAAAAATAAAAATATAAAAAAGTTTCATCCCGATCGACATGGTTTAACCCGTATTGACCCCGTGGACTCGGTTTTGATCAAAAGATGCGGTTGACTCAAGAAAATATATTTTACTTCTTTTTTTATTTACATTCTTTTTTATGAATAATAAAATAAAATAACATTCAAGAAAATCTTAATGAATCCAAAATTAGGTTACAACATTGTTAAAGATGTAATTTTAGCTAAGTGTCAAGTACAAATATTAGGGCATGATTTGACATAATATTTGTGTATTATTGACAAAAACTTGTCTTGCTTTGCATCTGATAAATAAGGGACCAATGATATTTTTATAGGCAGAACAATGTTAGGAAGTATTTTTAGGAGAGGATCGACAAGTGTTTTTAGTGCTATTAAAGCTAGAATATCATATTAAAGTAAAGTACAAATACTAGAATATAAGTTAAAATAAGATTTGTATGGTACGATGAAGAAGTGAAAGAGAAATTAAGGATGAAAAGTGAACACTTGAACATCATTTTCTCTAGTTTAAATGAGAAGAAGAAGATGAATAATGAAATTATGATATTTTTGAATCTAGTCGTTGAACCTTTAGAACTTTGTAATAGAGCCTTGTATTAGCCCTTATCTTTTGGATTCTTATAATTTCACCCCTAGCCTTCTCCGATTGAACCTTTAAATTTTTGTTCCTTTTACAAAGTAGTGATTAATTTTGAAATTTTTTAATTTGACCTTTAATTTGACCTCTAAATAACCTTTAAACTTTGAAATATTATCTATAATTTCACCCGATTAAGCTTGAAAAAAATTAAATATGTCCTTCAAAATTCCAATGTTCTCAATTAAACTAAAATTAGATTTTCAAACTTAATTTTTCACTAGTTAAATCCCTAATAACATTATTTGACCCATTAAAAGTCCAATTAAGCCTTCACACTTAATTAATTATTTTAATTGGACTCAAATTAATTTTTAAAATTAATCAAACATTTAATTAGGCCTAGATTAAATTAAATTAACATATTAAAAGTCTAATTAAATCTTTAAACTTAATTTTTATACAAATTCATTTGATAATCATTGAATTGGATCTTGAATATGTGTTGTCTTTCATTTTTTAGTATAATGGGGTATAATTGGTCTTTTAGTTTTATTTAAACCTCCAACATGGTTTCTTTATACATTGGAAACCTTTCTCAACCTACTCTTGTCAATCTTTTTTATTTTTATTTTTTTAATTTTTTTGTTACTTTTAATTTTTTTATTCTTAATTTAAAAGAAAAAGATAATTTTAGGAAAAAATCTAAAATTGAGATATAACACTAATCATAAAACAAAATCTTCATGTGTTGATTTAATTATGGAAGTTTGTTACATAGTTTAGGGAGAGATTGATGCAGATGAAGAGGGTTGAAAACAATATCAATAGCTGGGTGAAATTTTTAGTTTTTTTAATTTGATCCAATTTGTATGTTTTTTTTATTGTTATTGATTTTGTGGCTTCACAATAATTTTAAGTAATTTTAAGGTTAATAGTTTGAGGTTTGTAAATTGTAGCCATACACCCCAAAATATTTTTAGAAAATCATTATAAAGTTTTTTTCAATTCTAAAGTTTTTTAATGATTTGCTTTTGCTTGGTTCCTTTGAGTTTTCTTAACTGGATAGATTTAATTTACTTTAATTATAATATGATGATATAATAAAAATATACTTTTAATTACTTATTTCAAATCCATCCTTAAGCCTTTTTGAATAATTAAATCTTATTATTCTAAACACACAAATTCCATTCCTTTCACTAAAACAATACTAATTAAATGACTAAAAACTTAGTTATTTTGTTTAAATTTTACATGTTATTTTTTTTATATCCATGGAAAATTACTTATACTATTATTTGCATTTTAATTTTCAACATTAGTTTTAATATAAGTTTAACCAAACACTTATTGTTTACTTTTAAAATCAACTACATACCCAAAAAAAAAATAAAAATCATAACCAGATTAGCTTTTGTTAATAAAACTTTAATATTTAGTGCTTCTGGATACAGCAACAATAATTTTTTAATTTATAAAGCCAATAAGTCCAAACAGAGCCTTAGTCAACGAATTTTTCAATAAAAATTGTAATATATGTTCGTTAAATTACCATCATGAAATGTCATACCATCAATCTCACCATTTTGTTAATCATTATATTTAAGTCTACTATGTAATATAGTTTTTAAAATTTCTTATCATTAATATTAAATAAAAATAAAAATTATATTTTATTATTCTTTATTATAATTTCTTAACAAGATTACCAAATTATTTATTTTTTTATTTTAATGGCATAACATGATTTTAAATATTTTATTTGTTAAAATCTATGTTTTGGATCATGATAATTTTTTCTTAACTTAGAATACGTATGATACTTTCCGATTATTTTAAATTATTCAAATTCTTGATTTTTTTAATTGCTTTTACTCTTAGTTAAAAAAATGTTACTAATATATATATATATATATATATATTAGTAACATATTGAAGCAGAAATTTGAATAAAAAAATAAAAAGGAAAAATCCTGACAGATCTGTAAGTGTATTGTCTCTCCCCGTGCTTCAGGAAGGACACCGTGGAGAGGAGAGGAGAGGAGAAATGGCGGTTGTAAGGGTCGAGTCATGGTGACAACAGGGCAGGACAGGACTCCTTCTTCTTCTTCTTCTTCTCTTTTAAGGAATAACCTTCTTCTTCTTCTTCTCTTTTAAGGAATATAATTTCGGCAGTTTGTTAGTAATAGGATAATAATAATAATAATAAAGAATATTGGTCATAAGCTTTCTTATCTGCGAGGTTTTCCTTCTTTTCATACCCTTTCCATTCCAAGCTTCCCTTCCTTCCTTATGCCAACACCTGCTGTGGTACGTTCTTTCTCTTCTCTTCCTTTTATTTTTATTTTTATTTCGCAGCAGTTACAGACATAATTTTTTTTTATAAAAATTGGGTTTAGGGTTTTAACATTTTTATGTGATTTAATTTGATTTGATCAATTCTAGGCTTAATTAATTAAAATGACGACAAGAACAATGAGGAGGAGACTACATCATGGTGACGTTGATGGAAAAAGGAACGACGAACTTTTTGATTCTTCTGAGGTTGATGGTTTAAGCGAACCTTTACTCGGCAATCACATTGATGATTCTTCTGTTCCCGTCAGTAGCCACCTTTTATTTTCTGTTCTTTTATTTTAATTTTTATGCTATTTAAATAAAATTAAGAATTAAACTAATGTTATAGGTACCCATACTTGAAGATCTATGGGACGATGAACGGAGGAAGCAGCACATTCACTGGACTTTTGTGTTTTCGCAATTGATTGCTCAGTGGGCGCAATGGTTAGGTGTGTGATTTTTCTTTTTTCACTCTTTTCTCTGTCTTGCTTTTCTATGATTTATGGAGACTGTGTTGAGCAGCCTTGTTTTAGGAGAATGTATAGTATTGTTTCTTCTCAAATTGTGAATAGAACTGAAGTTGTTGCTCCTTTGTTTCATCTGTTTATACTTGGTTATGTATATTTTGTTCCTTATAGAAACAATTTTTTGTATTACTAACCTAGCATTTATCATGAATTGTTTATTGAATTTTGTTGATGATCAGCTGTTAGGCATGGCCATGTCATGTTTAGGAGGAAGTTTATTTATGTAAATTTCAGAAGTGTCAGAATCTTGTAAACAAGAATAATTCGGATCTAAAGCGTGGCAGGGCTTGCAAGCTTGTTTTGGCTTATTCGGATTTCCTGTAATCATTGCTTTGTGAAGTTTAAGCTGGATTTTTCTGCTTATTAGGCTCTCTCCTTTCTTCTGAAGGATAAATTCCTATTCATTGAAATTACTCTGCATGACCTTTGAGATTTAAAGTTCTTTGGGATCTTTGATTACATTGCAGATTGTTAGACCTGTTTGCTGTAGGTGACTGACAACTTTATGTTGGTTTCTGTAGCAAATATTGTGCTAGGTTCTGGATCACTTATTTCCCGGCTTTTGCCTCTTTCTGCTCTCAGTCAAAATGGATCAAACAGGAAGCTTCTTCAACCTTCTCTTAGTCCTTTACAGGTATATTAAGTTATCCGGATAATATCCATATATTCTAAAGCTACTCATTTCACATGCTTGATAATTTTTTGTGGATTTTCTTTTATTCTGTCCTCAGTGTGCTGTTTTGTCTAGAAACATAATAGTCTACATTTTTATGTTGCTTCTCGTGTATGCTTTCTGTTAAATCAAGTTAAACACTCTGTACCACATAGTTATATATAGTTCTGTTCAGTCAGTTTTTTCCTCTGAACACAACATTGTATGACATTCCTCCTAGATTGAAGTGCTGGATACGGTTGTGTGCATATGGAGTATATCAGTACAAACTACTTAACTTGCTTTCTTTCTTTTTGAAAAACATTTGTTGTCTTCTAATATGATCCTACAGGAAAACCATCAAATGTTGCACTTTCCTCTAATCTCTTCGTATTTTGCAAGCTTATCAATATACTTCCTCTTTTAAGCTATACATGTGGAATCTTGTCTTTGTATTTTCAGATTTTGATATTTTACAATGATGTGGCCGTTTTTCTTTGAATTCAATCAATTTTATGCATCGTTATAGAAGATCTTGGTTTTTGATTCTGTAAATTGGCTTTTGAAGGAAGCAAGACTTAGAGATCTTCAGCAAAGGTTGGGAGTTCCCTTTGATGGTTCTCAGGCAGAGCATCAAGTAAGTCTTCTTCTGTTTGTGATGTGCATCATGGGGATTATGATCTTTTGAATCATTCACGGCACATCAGTTTCCTTATTTTATTTACCTCTGGCCCCTCTTATTCTTAGTTTATTTTCTGTTTAGTTGTTAACATTTAAGGGAATATATATGAAATCTGGGTTTTAGTTTATTCAATAAAAATGGATTGGAAATCATGCAGTTGAAGTGCTGGATCATTTTTCTTTTACTTTGCAGGATGCACTTAAACAATTATGGAGGCTTGCTTACCCCGATAGAGAGCTCCCGTCTTTAAAGTCTGAGCTTTGGAAAGACATGGGTTGGCAAGGCTCAGACCCATCAACTGATTTTCGGTATGTAGAAGATGTGTGGAAACTGGTTTTAGATGTAATATATGCTCAGATTTATTCCTTTAAAAGTATACTTATGCAACTCTTTTCCATGATATTTGAAGGGGTGGAGGATTTATATCACTGGAGAATCTGATCTTTTTTGCCAAGAAATATCCGGTTTGTCCTTAACTTTGAATACATAGGTTAGGTATTATTTTCTTTCATACAGTGTCTGATGCTATTTAAAGTGATTGATAAATGACCCATGCCTTGTATTGTATACGAGTCTAACTCCATCAGCATGCTCATGATATGATCATGCTTGTTGGGAATGCATTCTGGCACTGGTTTTTTGTTTGAAGTCTGAAAATCTGAAGTACATACCTCAAAAAGAGTGCTCATCATTTCCAGATTCCAAACTGGATGTTATTCTTTAATAGTGAGAATGCTCATAGTCAATGGATTTGAGTTTCTACTGTACACTATTCATATTTTGGGTAAAGGTTCTAGTGTCCATCAATGGATTTGAGTTTGTACTGTAAACTAGTTACTGCTATCTGGCATCTGCCACAGTGTGCATCTCAACATTTAGTATTGGCTGTTGGAAGGCGATCCTAACATTGTGATCTCTTGTTCTAAGGAAAAAACTAAGTTATTCAGTTTCATTGGTAGTTGATAAGTGTGATTTTGACTTTTTTCTTTCCTGACATATATGAGTTCTGCAAATGAGATGCTGTGAAAAATGAAATTTAGTATGTATTGCCTCCCCATTCACTTTCTCTTATTTTTCTGTGTTGTTTCCTTTTCTGAGTGTTGCATTCTATCCTTTCTCACATTAAAAGAAATTGTGGCCTCCTTTTGTTCTAATTTTTTTTGCATACCTGCTTGGAGAAATAATATTTGCTGCATGGTGTGTCTTGTATGCCTCTTTGTTCATGTTTGGATGCTTGGGAATTCTAGCCTGCTTCTTATGTTTTATGGCCTTGAAAGGCATAAAAAATTCTTTTGTGTGTGTAGTCGTCAAGTGTTTGATTTTGGATGGTTCTTGAATGAAAAATATCCAAATGGCCATCATGCTTGATATGGGACTTCCTGGAAGTGCATACATTTTCTATAAAGGTTTTATGGATTCTATGTGCTCTGAGGTGGCCATTACTTGTTGGTTCCATTTAACATGTTTGAGCTCCATAAGAAATTGTTGATTGAACAAGCCTGTTGCTTTTTCTTTGTGTGTGATGATTTGATGTTGTGAAAATGATTTTGGTTGCTAGTTCTAAAACTGGCATGCTTATTAATCTGCTCTTTGGTTGACAGGACTCATTCCAGAGATTGTTGAACAAAAGAGATGGAACTAGAGCTGAGTGGGAGTATCCCTTTGCTGTGGCTGGTGTTAACATTTCTTTTATGTTGGCACAAATGTTGGATCTTCAGACAGGTAATTGATATCTGAATTTAGGGGATATCTGATGTCTCTTTAATAGTTACACAGTTCTGGAAAGGTGACTTGATTAAATGCCAGTCAGCATTAGAGCAATGATATTCCCAACAATTTTGTGGGTTAATAATGAATTGCGAAGTTCTGTTATTTTCCTTGTACAGTTCTGATGCTCTCTATCTTCTTTCTTTCCTTTGCAAATTCAAATGCTCCAACCATGGATTGAAAACTTGATGTAAAATTTCATTTGCAGGGAAGCCATCCACTCTGGCAGGAGTCAGATTCTTAGAACTACTAGCAGACGATGAAATGGCATTTGACAACCTTTATTGCATAGCATTTCAAATGATGGATGCTCAGTGGCTTGCGAAGCGAGCTTCATATATGGAATTTAATGTAAATTTGTTCTCAAAATCTTTCTGCTGTCCAATCATGTCATAAATAATTTTCAATTCAACTGTGATTCTATCTATCTGCTCCATGCAATCTTGCACACATTGTCTTATATTATTACCTTTTTCCAGGATGTTTTGAAGTCTACAAGGACGCAGTTAGAGCGGGAGCTTTCCCTTGAGGATGTCTATACCGTGAAAGATTTACCGGCATACAATATGCTGACGGGATAATATGACAATACAGTGTAAAATTAAATAAAAAATTTCCCTGTCCATCTGTGGAATTGATACATGTAGCGTTCCAATCAAATCTGTAAGAAGAAACCCTTTTTATTCATGATCATGAAAACCAATTACAATTTCCATTAACAACACTTTCCCTTCTTAATGGTACACCTTTGAATTGGATTACGCCATTCCTTTCAAAGCACAGAGGGCATGAGTGGCCATTATGGCGGGTTCGATGCTATTATGTTATGTTAATATATGACTGGGATAAAGAGAACACAGATTTCATTGTAGAGCATTGTCATGGAAAACGGATTTTGTCGCTTGAAAGCTAAAACGTGATCTTCAGGAGATGAAAACCGATCATATATTAAATGATTGCGAGTGCTCTGTGTTGCTCTCAATTAGTGTTCTTATGCCTTGAATACAATAAGATGCTGGGTCTCAAAACAAGCTTGAAGGGTAGCCATGGCTAAGAAACAATGAAGAGAATTGCGATTAATTTTCTAAACTTGATTGCGTTATGGATGATCGAGGTCAAGGAAGTGTGGCTATGCTCAGCTCTTCCAAAATCAACAATTAAAGCAGGCATCCCATCACCATAATGGATGGTCGTTGCATGGAACCAAGAGATTAAAGATGGGAAATGCTAGAACCTCCACTGCTTTCTTCCGATGGTCTCAGGAACCGATTTAGACGCGCCAATGACTTCTTTACCTATTGTATGAAGAAGAAGAGAAAACCAGAAACGAGAAGTGTCATGATATACCATGCATGTAGTTTTGCTCCTGGTCTCACATATTTAATAGAAAAAAGACTTGGAAAAGGAGACGCATTTTCTCTCTCGCTCTCTCACTTACCTGGCCATCCCAATCAGTTCTCATGGTCATGCAGCAAAGTGCAAGCAATTGCAGTACAACTCCCAGAATCATTCCAATCCAAATGCCCTAGCTATAAAATTGAATGAACTAAGTCAAATGATTATTAAATAAATAATCTCCGCACACCATAATATCTCAATATTGAGTAATTTAAGTACTCATCCATTAAAGAGCCATGAAAAAGAGAGAGATACTACAGTTCTTACCTCTCACCTTCACTTGCAGCCTCACATTGAATACCAGCGCCCTGCGCAGTAATGGAATACGCAATTGTTAGGAAAAAAAAATGCCCATGAAATGCAAGAAACTCTCTTAATTATGCAAGCAAGTGAGTTTAATTCCCAAGTTAATACCCTTTAGGGCATGAGTATTTTCAAGTGAAAAACATCCCTGATAAGTGTGGACTGAACACTGTTGAGTAAAACTGAGAAAGCTGGTAGAAGCCTGGCACCTCCTCATCACCACCAGACAAGAAAGCAATTTTGTTGCCAAATGCTAAACACAGAATGCAAAAGAGAACTCCAGCTGAAACTCAATCAGTCAAGCTGCTAACTTTAATAGAGAGATTCTCAGCCTCTGTATCTCATCTCCCCAATTCATTTGCAACCGGCAGGCACACTACACAAACGAAACCATTTATTAAGCATAAATTTATTTTCCTTGCTATAGACCCTACATATAGATATAGTAATTTAAACATAGGGCATTATAATTTGTCTTCGAGAGACTATAGTAGCTAGTTGAAGTCGTCCGTTGCAGCAAATAGGAACCCAAGACATAGCATTGCATCCCAAGGTACGACATTGATGCTACAAAAAAATAATGAAAAAAGATTCTTTTTTCAGATTTCTTTTCTACTAGATAATAGGAAATGAACACAAATAGAGAACAAAGAAAATGGAAAAAATACAGTCTTACCAAATGAAGAGGGCAGATATTGCGGTTTTTGACATTTTTCATGTATCCAGTCAATAGGATTAGAACGACATAGTACTATAACTCGAAGCTATTGATCCAATAATCCGAAAAAAAAAAAGGGGGTTGTTGCTGGAGTTGTTCCGAATTAATCAATGTGGTAGAAAAAAAATGCAGAGAGGGGTTGTTGCTGGAATTGTTCCGAATTAATCAATGTGGTAGAAAAAAAAATGCAGAGAGTTAAATATCAACTAGAATTTAAAGTTTGTAAAAGTTTTAATATTAGTTAAAATAAAAATTCTAATTAATGTGAAAATCCTTGATGAATAAATATTTGTAATAAATTAGTTTATTATAATTTTTATTTAATTAGATTGTCAGATTACTTATTAGATTAAGATTTAGTATTTTAATTCTTTGATTATCTAGGACTTGATGCCTATAAATATTCTTGTAATTAGAAGCATAATACACAAAAATAGAGAGATATAATTAAAGAAGAGATAAAAAGATGTGTTTTTAAGAAAAACTCTTACTAAAAAACATCAATCCTCTTAGTATTCTTCTTGTTCCTTAACTTTATTCTTGTGTTTGTTCTTGTAAATTAGCTTCTACATCTTTTTTTTTTCCAAGAAGTAGTATCAGAGCTTAGGTTTGATTATTTAACATGTTCAAACTTTCTACTTTCAAGTTCCAGATTGACAAAAAACAACTATGAAACTTGATGTATTCAAGTAAAAGCTTGGCTAAGTTCTTAAGATGTATATGAGATGGTTGAAAAAGGCTTTGAGGAGCCTATAGATGGAGCAATGTTGACTTTATGGAGCAACGTTGACTTTAGCCTAAAAGAAAGTTGTGCAAAAGGCATGAAAAAAGGATCAACTAACACTAACAATTATCTATCAATGTTTAAATGACACCACTTTTGAGATAGTGGCCAACACAACCACTGCCGAGCAAGCATGATAAGTTTTGCAAGAATCAAATCAAGGAGTTGACAATGCGAGAAATGTATGTCTATAAAAACTACATGGTAAGTTTGAAAAGTTACATATGCTTGAATAAAATAAAGAGATTTACAAAAGTTTAATTATATACAATCAAATAAAGAGATATAGGGAGAAGATGAAAGAGACATGTGTGGTAGAGCATATCTTATGCTCACTGCAAAAAGAATTTCATTATGTGGTGGTCGTGATAGAGAAGTCATAAAATATGAATTTTTTTTCAATACATGGTCTCATGGGAAAATTAGATGTCCATGAAAAAAGAGTTAATGAGATTTAAGAGGATGTGGGTGCACAAACACTTTTTTCAAAGCAATATAATTTTGGATATTTCCAAGAAGGAAGAGGAAGATTTAGAAGAGGAGGTCAAGACAACCTCAACAGATCAAACTAAAGAAAATATAAATCTTGTGATAGACTGACTCAACTAATAGTAGTAACATAAGATCCAAATTTAACAACAGGTTTGACAAATCAAAAGTTAAATGCTATAATTGTTAAAGACAAATCATTATACTAGGGACTATTAGAGTCTAACTAAGAGAGTTGAGGAGAATACAAATCTTGTGATATAAGAAAAGAAGGAAGCCACTTTACTAGCAGTGCATAATGAGAGAATGCAAGATAAAGATAACATATGATACCTAAACAATGAAGCCAGTAACCACATATGTAGAGACAAAGACAAGTTCATGAAGCTTAATGAAACAATTAGAGGTAATATTACCTTTGTAGATCATTCAAAGGTTGTCATCAAAGAAAAATATATCATTTTGATTAAATTGAAAGATGAAAGTCATCAATTTATTGGAGATGTTTGTTATATACCAATGATGAAAAGCAACATATTGAGTTTAGAACAATTATTGTAGAAAGGGTATGAGATTGAGATGAAAGATCATACTTTGACATTATTTGACACTAAAGGAGATATGATTGGAAAGGTAGCCATGAAAAATAATATAATGTTCTTGCTAAATATAAAGATGGATGTGTCTAAATACTTAAATGCATGTGTGAAAGATGAAACTTGACTTTGACATATAAGACTTGGACATGTAAAATTTGATCGCTTGTAAACTTTGATAGCTTGAAGATGATGACACAAAAGAGATGTTGAAGGATCTACCATCCATTATACATCCAAATCAATTTTATGAAGTATGTTTAATAGGCAAACAATTTCACAAGAGTTTTTTGAAAAAGTCTACATTAAAAGCAAATCAACCCCTATAAGAAATATACGGCGATGTTTGTTGTCTTATGAAACCATGTTTGTTTGGTAAAAAAATTATATTTTATATTTTATATTTTTTATTGATGATTATAGTAGAAGCATGCTTTTTAAAAGAAAAATCTAATATGTTTAGTGGTTTTAAGAAGTTTAAGACATTAGTTGAAAAAGAAAATGGTTATTTTATAAAATCACTTAGGATAAATAGTGAGGGTGGATTTTTTTCTAATGATTTTAATGAATTTGTAAAGATCATGGTATAAAAAGACTCCTAACAATGCCTAAATACCTACAACAAAATGATGTGGTGGAGAGAAAGAATATAAGCATCCTTAATATGGCTAGAAACATGCTCAAAACCAAGAAGATACCTAAGAGTTTTGAGCTGAAGTTCGTAAATTATGCTATTTACTTGTCAAATAGATGTTTTACTAAAAGCTTAAATGACATGACTCATCTTCTTTTTTGACAAAGAGTTTGTTCTCAAGGAGAAAATTGAAGAAATTAGGACTTCTTAAAGCACAAAGTCTAAGGCTACTAAGAGCTATAATAGAGGGGTATCAAATAAGAGAAAGCAAAAAAGAAGAAGCTATTCCATGTTTAAGAACAACATCCATAAAAGATATAGACAAAGTCTCCATTGACTAAAATCCAACTTGATATAGTCATGACAACAGTAGCCCTTTAGTTTAGTTTGCTCACAAAGATTCATGATAAAAGCATATATTTTTATGATTATACAAACCTAGAGGTTCACTACAACAATAATCCTTCATGTCTCCATCTTTTCAACCTAAATATATTCAAACTACTCGGTAAAAAAATAAGAAATAGTTAGTAAAGCTCAATATATCTCCCTGTGGGTCATTTCTTTCCTCTACAATATAGTATTCAACTTGACCATTCAAAAATACTTTAAAACTTACAAAAACTTCTTTTCATTCAAATAAAAAAATAGCAAACTTCTTGATTTAATTAACTTATACATTGATATTTTAAAGTTTGTGCAAACCAGGGATAAAAAAAAATAATACATTACTTTCATAGATGATTGCATGAGATATTGTTATATTTAATTTTTTAGAAGCAAAGATGAAACTCTTAAAATGTTGAACAATTACAATAATGAACAATTACAATAATAAACAATTATAATAATGAAGTTGAAAATCAACTTGATAAGAAAATAAAGGTAATAAAAACTGATAGATATGGAGAATACAAAAAACTATTTGGTGAATTCTGTTTCTAAAATGATGTTATCCATCAAATAACCACTTCTTATTCACTTTAATAAAATGAGATTATGAAATGTAAGAACCAAACATTAAAATAATAATAATAAAAAATATCATATTAATAAGTTTAGGAACCACTTATAGAGGGAAATTCTAAATACCAATTATATATTTAATAAAATATCTTATAAGAAGCTTGAGAGAACATCATATGAATTATAAAAAGATAAAAGATTTTCTTACAAATATCTCAAAGAGCAAATGTGTTTAGCAAATGTGACAATACCTAATTCCAAAAAGATCAAGATAAGATCTAGAACTATAAATTGTGTAGCAAGAGTGAACTTTTTTTGAGAGATTTTTTTTTTAAAACAAGGTGTGCCTCATATATATATATATATAAAAAAAATATTTTATGTATTTTTTTAGATTTGATAACTTAGTATACTTTTTTTTTAAAAATTTTCCTTTAAGATTTTTAATTAGTTTTAGGTTTTTAAATGTTTTATGGGTTTTCTAGGTTTTTTTTAATGTATTTCAAAATATCTTAAAGTATTTTTTTTAAAATGTTTTTTAGGCTTTTCAAAATCTATTTTTCTTTTAAACGGTTGTAGGGCATTTTGATCTAAACATGACAAAAGAAGACATATTGAAGAAAATAAGAATATATAAGAGCATGTAGATTTCTTAAGAAGGTACATGAGAGATTACATCCAATAAATAGATCATTTAACCCGATGAGCAAGAGTAATCGTGACCATAAAACATAGAAAGGAATTGCCATGGAAGCCAAGTAGAAGATGGATAAACTAGACAGAAGAAGAGAAGGAAAAACAAATCAAATGGATCACAAGCCAAAAGGTGACTGAATCCAAGCCACCATAAGACCAAGGAGATTACTGATCGATCCATCTGCAACGTAATTAGTATCACGGAGAGGAAAGAAAACCCACCTTGTTGAAGTGACCTCTTAATTACGAAATGGAAATTAGAATCGAAAGATTGTGTGTAGGAACCCAAGAGTAGTTCCTACCAGCAGATTTGAACCATCTAGTCAGGTGTAAAGAATCAGATGCTACTTTTCATCTGAAAAAAGCGTGGTTTGAAAACGCAACAGCAAGCATTGTCCAGTACTTTCAAGCAAGATTGGAGTTTTCAACAGATTGCTTCGGTGGTTCCATGAAAAATCGACCAAGACGTTCTTCTGCCTTGCGTACCTGGAAACAGAAGTTGTTAGCTTATGGTGAAAATAGCTTTATAACGTTATAATCTCATGCATTCTTTTCAAACCTGTTCATCCCAATCAATCCTCCATGTAAGGTAGGATAGCAAAAGTGTTAGAACTACAACTCCAGTCAACAATCCAATCCACAAACCCTGTGTAAGCAGAGAAGAAAATATTGGTGAATAATAAATGCAAGTTCTACAGAGTTGGATTTTAACTAGTAAATCAAATCACTCGTCATGAAGTTATCAGGAAACGCCAAGGTTGCGAAATGGTCAGAAAGTGGATCATCAATTTGAATGGCTATGTTAAGCAGAAGATATTATAAATCTTGACAATATCCTTCTTACATACCTTGATCTGAAGATGAGCTACATATCCAAGCACAAGCCCTATAGGCACTCCAATCACATAATAGCTTCCCAAGTTGAGAAACGCAACAGTACTTTGCACACCAGCTCCTATGGCTACGCCTGGAGAAGAATTTTAACGGTTCAGTTTACATTACACAAATGCGTGCACTTAGACCCACCAAAAAAAAAACATTTATTCTGATATATAGTATTTGTCTATAGAATTTAGAATGAAATACTTGCCTGAAAGTACTGGATAAATACTATTTAACAACACTGAGAACGCAAGCAGAACATGAAGCCTTGACACAGATTCTGCAATTTCCTCATTACTTGTGAACAAGGACGCAATCTCATCACTGAAGACCAAACACAAAATCCAGAAGATAATTCCTATAATTACTGAAGTAACGAGGGCAACTTTGATAGAAAATCTTGCAGCTTTAGCATTGCCCTTTCCCAATTCATTTGATACACGCACGCTGTACAAAATGCAGCACACATGGAATTTGACTAAATATATCAGTTGCTCCGAAATGGAGACAATAGAGATAAAAAGAGAATGATTGGTATTCTTAATGGTTAAAGCAATACCTTGAAGCACCTAAAAACCCAAGGCAAATCATGAAATCACATCCATAGATGTTGATGCTGAAAGAAGAAATTAGCATTAGTCATCTTCTTTTTAATACTTAGAACTGATACAGGCCAAGCAACTGTATTGAGATTTGCACAATCACTTCTTACCAAATGGAGAAAGCAGATATAGCAACAGTTGCATTCTTCACATATCCAGCTAACAAGACAAGAATTGAGGTGTACCAAAACTCTAAGCTGTTAGGTTAAAGCATACACAATCAGGGTTCCATTTGTTCTGTGCTTAACATCATTAAGGATTCAAGTATATATTTAAGTATTTTTTTTCCCTTAAAAACAACTAGCCCTGTTAAATTCCCATATGTTAAATGGAACAAAAAGAATAAAATTGTTAAAGTTCAAACTTGTAAATTACCAAATCATAACTCCGGAGGATAATGAGAGCTTTACTAGAGGTAACATATCAGCAAAAGCAGATTTAGTAAAGCCTTTCCATGTATGAGGACACCAGCCTCCAAAGATATAGACAAACTCTCCAATAACCAGCAACCAAGCTGAAATGATGAATGCACTCATGGCACCAGCAACTCCTAAACCAAGTTTGATCACAAATAACCAGGACAAAAACACATGAACCAGAAAGGAGGAAGCGGTAAACAACCCGACAATCTTGTTTTTTTGTTGTGCTTGCAAGTACATTTGGATGGTCAAGCTCAACACATAATAGTAGACGATGGGAATGAACCATAGCGACATTTTCCCAGCTTCTATTGCTATCTCCTCATCTTGTCCAAGTAGTTTTAATATCGGTGCTGTGAAAATGAAGAGGGGTAGCAAGATGGTTGCAGCTACACCATCAATGATCCATGATCGCTGCAAGTAAATACCCATCATGTGGCATTGTCCAGCTCCATACGCTTGGCCGCATAAGGTCTCAGTCGCACTTGACATGCCAATCTACCGTGAGAGAAAATTTGGAATAATTGTAAGTCAATTATTGAAATAATTGTCTGCACCATATATAGATTTGGAACAACAGATAGGTGGCGAGACATGTAAAATAGGAAAGAGACATTGATTCATTCCTAATTTCAATACCTACAATGGGCCAATAACTCCTATCTGGGGCAAACCATTAAGTGAAAGTCAATCTAATCTTGGTGCACTAAATTTTTTATGCCAATTATTGTTTAGAAAATTGATAAATACAAATAAAAATATTAAAAAAAATAATTTTATTAATAAATTATAATAAAATTTTCCAATAAAATATTTTTTTTGTTATGTCTTGCAGTATACATCGAAAAAATTATAGTAGGAAAAGAATAAATAGAATAAAAAAAAATAACATGTCATTATTACATATAGTAATATCGACGAAATAAACTCGTCATTAATATCCATCAGTAATATTTAACTTATGACCTGACGAGTGATCACCCCTCTCACCCATTTATTTTTCTTCCTATAGTTTTCTCTATAAATAATAGCATACCCACTTATTTTATCATAAATCAAATTCTCATTATCACAAATCTGGCCTCTCCAACATTCAGTCTGTCAGCATTCCTCTTTTAGTTGAATTTTTCTTAAGGATTCCCTTCATGCAAAACTACCTATTTTTTAAACTCATTTTCAAAATGTTGATTTTTATGGCGTTTTGATGTAGTATATATAAATTGTTTGTGTGTTTACTTGTTTTATAACTTTTTTTCCATAGAAATTTTTTGAATGAATGTATTATTTGTACATGATATTGTTTGTTTGAAATTTTTTAAAATTATATATTTTTTTATTTGATGAATTGATTTTGATTTTGTGATGTAGATATTTTGTAATGAAATAAATAATGGCATATATGATGAGTACGCTTTATATTTTGTCAATTTTATTGTTGAATTGAAAATTTTAGTAAATATGGAGGAATTTGAATTTTTATAGAAAATTAATAATGATTGAAGGTTATTATTAAAATAAATTGAATAAGTTTGATTTAAACCAATGCTAGCTAACTTATTTAGTTTACGTAATTAACTAATATATGTTGTCATCAATATTCTATATAGGTTTAATATAAATAATGGATGATTGTTATTAGATGTATCATGTTTCACCCGAAGGGTTGCATAAGATGGAGTATTGTAATGCAGTTAAGGGTTTTATTAATTATACATTATCTAATCCGATAAATATTAGTGGAGTTGGTATTAGATGTCCATATAAGAGGTATAAAAATAAAAAAATTTCTCGATCTAGATGTTGTTATGATGAATTTTCTACAAAAAAGGGTTGAAGGAGAAATACTTATGTTGGCTTGCACACAGAGAACCATATATTCCTTATAAGACCATGGTAGAAATGATGGTGGGGCCAACTTATAGTTGTAGTAATGTGCATGGAGTTGTAGATGATAATAGTAATTCTTATAGGAGTATGGTTATAGATGCAATGAGAATGAATTAAAGTTATGCATGTGAATGTTCAATCACAGATGAAAAATCAAATGTAGATGTGACCATGTCTTTTGATCTTTTGAAAGACATCAACAAACTATTAGGGGATGAGTGCACAAATCACAGTAAATCATCGTTCGTTATCAGATCATGGGCTAAGCAAGACTAATTACAATATAATCATCAAATGGACGGGAAACATTTTATCTAAAGAAAATAGGCTGAAAAGAACTTTTATACTACTAAATTCATGATGAAACCCCTTGGCCTAGGACACTAGAAAATTGACATGTGTCCAAACTTTTGCATGTTGTACTACCTTGAAAATACATACTTGATTGAGAGTAAAACATATTGGTATGCTCGTTATAAACCCATAACTGGCAAGGAAAGGACTCTATTGCACATAGAAAACTTATATACTTTCCAATCACTTATAGTCTGTAAAGGTTATTCATATCTCCAAAGATTGCTGAGCATATGACATGGCATCATTGACTTGATGCAGTGGATGGAGTCATGGTACACCCTTTTGTTGGTGAACCCTAAAAACATTTTAATAGGGCATATCTTCAGTTCTTAATGGAATCATAAAATATACATCTTAGGTTATGTACATACAAATTCAATCCATTCAGGTAATTTGCTGCTTCTTATTCTTGTTGGCCGATAACACTCATAATTTAAACTTGCCACTAAAAATGTGTATGGGGTCGAAGTTCATGTTTCTATCTATGATCATACCCGGTCCTAATAGTCAAGGTTAGAATATCGACGTTTGTCATTGATCATTGATTGATGAGATGAAATAATTGTGGTCATCCAGAACTTTGACTTATGATGTCTCAAGGAAACATAATTTTCATATGAATGTTGTTTTGATATGGACTATAAGTGATTTTCTTATGTATGAGATGGTTTCTAGTTTGAACACACATGAAAAATTAGTGTGTCCATGCTATATGAAAAATCACAAAGCTTTTATCTTAATAAATAGTCATAAAGTGTCTTTTTTTGATAGCCACCGGTGGTTCTTGCCAACCGATCACACGTACAAAAAGAAAAAAAATGACTTGTTTGTTAGTAGAGTTGAAAAAGATGTTGCATTATTGGTACCATAAGGTGAAGAATTATATGATGTGGTATCATAATATGATGAGATGTGTTTAGTGTTCAATCTGGTAAGCAGAAGTTTTCTAGTCTTGATGTGACTCATAATTGGATAAAATAAAGTATTTTTTAAGAGCTTTCTTATTATAAAACTAATCTCCTTTGCCATAATCTTGATACCATGCATATTAAAAATAACATGTTAAAAATATTTTTAATATAGTGATAGACATAAAAGGGAAAATAAAGGACAACATGAAAGCTAAAGTAAATATATTTTTGTTTTGTCATCGTAAGAATATAAAGTTTATTTATGATGGATCACGGGCCAGAGAGTCCACAACTAACTTCATCTCAAATAAGAATACATAATTACTTATTTACTAAAAGCTTAAGAGTTTGTATTTTTCTGATGGACATGTTTCAAACATATCTAGATTGGTGAAGTAAGAGGATTGTAGATTATAGAATGAAGAGTCATGACTGCTACATATTTATGCAAATACTCATTTCACTTGCTTATTAGGATTTATTACTAAAAGTGATATGAAATGCATTTACAAAGATCAATAACATTTTTTTAGAGAATATTATTTAACAAGTTGCATACCCAACATATCAAGAGCCTTAAAATGAATATTGTCTAGAAAATATGCAAAACTGAGATGATATTTCATCTATTTTTCTTTGACTTAATGAAGAATCTACCGATACATTTACCGTTTAAGGAAAAAGTTGGAGTCCTTGTCTAGTATAGATGGATATATCCATTTGAGAGGTTAGGGATTACACATGCATGCTAATTAAATTTTTATTGTCTTTTTTTTAATTTAAAATATTCATTTAATTCTATACAAATACTTGTATATGTATTGAGGTTTTAATATACGAGACTTATATTATTGCAGAGATCTCAACATTTATTTTTTACTATTTTAAACCTTACTTTAGAACAAGAATCAATCATGTTCCAAGACATAATGATAGGGGGAGTTCCTTTAAATAAGAATTTGTTAATATTTTTCCACTCTAAATGACCTGAACTAAAAAATACAGTAAGGGCCAGATACTTGACAAAAATCAAATTAAGACCAATATATAATTATGTGCTATTTAGCTGCAATGAACTAAGTCTTTTAATTTAGATCAACCCTTATTTAACATGTCTTTATTTTCTAACAATTTTTCTCAAATACTCTCGTAAACTAATAGATTGAATAATTCATAGTAGACAACATCGCAAATTTGTACTATCCTAAAATTCACATATGACTAAATCTCAAAATTATCAATTACAAGATAAATAATTTACCATGTGGTTCATAATACATGTAAGCAATACTTAATTATTCTTATCTCTCATAATACTTAATTTCATCACACTCTTCTCTTTAACTGTTAATGATTGTAATTGTATATTAGGTTTATCAATTAAGAAAAAATGCTAGTGTTACTTTGGATTTACTATATTCCAGCCCTGAAAGAAAGGTGAAGTGATATAACAGTTATTTTATCAATGAACATGTCTTTCATACTGAAGAATATGATCATTGTAAAAAGACATATAACAATGAAATTTGTGTTAAGGAATCAACTTCTAATGAATTTAAAGTTGATTATTATGGGAAGTTAGAAGAGTTGATTGAATTATAATATTATAACGAGTAAAATAAAGTCTTTTTATTTAAATGTTATTAGTATGCTTTGTGGAGGGATTTAGTGCATTAGGTGAATTTGAAACCTAAAGCAAATTAAGGTAGATATCAATAAGCATCTTATTATATATATATATATATATATAATTTATAGTATTTTACTTTGAATCCTTGGAGAAATCAGTAGATGATAATGTCAAGGAGGTAAATGGAGAAGATATTAGACAACAAATTATTTCAGTGATCACACAATATTGTAGGGAA